TATTTAAGGTGATTATTATAATTTTCTTACTGATTACTTGGTATTACAATATACATATGTGACCTATGACAGTAAACTTAAATATTTTAGCTCTTCCAGTGAAATATGGAGTCCTTATTTCCCTTTAGGTCTTCTATCTTCCAAATGTCATGGAGTATCATGTGGTATTATAAATTTTGTATCAACTATCATATATCATTTTAAAAATTACTGATAAAAGGTATAGTCTATTATTAATATATTTATCTATATTCTCTTTTAATTGTTCTTTCTTCTTTTCTGATGCTCCAGGATTCCTTCTTTTATCATTTCCTTTCTTTTTGTGAAACTTCCTTTATCCATTCTTTCATTCTTTAGGGAACCTATTCTTTTTTCTTTTTTTTCAGATTCTAAGTTTTTAATCATTTATTTATTTTTTTAATTTCAGGATATTATGGGGGTACAAACATTTTGGTTACATGTTATGACTTTGCCACATCCAGTTTCTCCGAATATAGAATTTGTAACTGACAGTTCTCTCAGCCCTGAAAAACACATGTCATTCCTTCCGGTCTCTGTGATTTTGAATGAGTCATTTACTGTCATTCAAATTAGCATTCTTCTATGGGTAAGGTGTTATTCTCTCAAGGGGCTTTCAAGATTTTTCTGTCTTTAGTTTTCAAAAGTTTTGTTATGCTGGATCTTGGCATGGATTTCTTTGGGTTTATTCTTTTTGTTTGTTTGTTTTTTGTTTTTGTTTTTGTTTTTGTTTTTTGAGACACTGTCTCACTCTGTTGCCCAGGCCACAGTGCCATGGCATTAGCCTAGCTCACAGCAACCTCAAATTCCTGGGCTCAAGCAATCCTATTGCCTCAGCCTCCAGGGTAGCTGGGACTACAGACATGTGCCACCATGCCTGGCTAATTTTTTCTATATATATTTTTAGTTGTCCAGATCATTTATTTCTTTTTTTTTTTTTTAGTAGAGACGCGTTCTCACTCTTGCTCAGGCTGGTCTCAAACTCCTGAGCTCAAAGGGTCTGCGAGCCTCAGCCTCCTGGAGTGCTAGGATTACAGGCGTGAGTCACCGCACCCAGCCTATTCCTTTTTGTATATACTCACCTTCTTGAATCTGTGCATTTATGTCTTTCACCACATTGGGAAGTTTGTAGCCAATATTTTTTCAAATATTCTTTCAGCCTCACTTTCTTCTTCACTCTTTTTGGGATTATGGTGATACAAATGTTGGATCTTTTGTTATTTTTCCGTTGGTCCCTGAGGCTCTGTCCTTTTTATATTCAGTCTATTTCTCTTTGTTGGTTAGGTTGGGTAAAATCTATTGAACTGTCCTCAAGATTGCTGATTCTATCCTGTCTTTTGCACTCTATTCTTGACCCCATTCAATGAGTTTTCTAAAAGTTATTTTTTCAGTATTATAATTTCCATTTGATTTTTTTATAACTTCTATTTCTTTACTGAGGTTTTCTTTTCATATGTTTCAAGAGAATTTGTAGTTGCTTGTGGAATCCCTTTTTTTTATGATTGTTGCTTTTAAAATCTTTGTCAGATAATTGGTATTCATCCTTGGTGTTGGTGTCAGTTGATTGTCTCTTTCCAGCAAAGTATGATTTCTGGTTTGGCATGATGAATGATTTTCCCAGTGATTGTATTCTAGGTAGTTCTTTTGGCAATTGAGGAGACTCTGGTCTTATTTACATTTTTATTTTAGCATATAGTCACCCTCATTAGGTTTAGTGTATAGGTTTTAGCCTATTTTTATGGACTGTGGTTTCAATGACAATCTAATTTTCAGAGCTTTCGTTGGGCTGTTTTGATCAGTTTGGTTTATCTGTGCTGCTTGGACTCCTACTGCTCCCTGCTGTGCTGCTTAGGGGGACAGAAAGAGCTTCCCCAGGCTGGGATGTGTGGTGCCTCTATGTGGGGGAAGGGCAGCTCAGGCCCACTGGAATGAAGGGTCTTCCAGGGCTGTGATTGTCGTCGTAGGTTGCCCCTGCATCTGAGAGGTAGAGACTGCTTCCCAGGTCAGGCATTTGTTGTTATAGAATACCCATTGCTGATGTCTCCCACCCTTTCAGGATCTTTACGTGAGGGTGGGAAATCTCAGGCCCTGGAGAAGGAGAGCATTTCCCTGGCTACTTATTATCAGCTTCATTTCCACTTAGCCCCTTTGCCATATGAGGGAGGAATGATCCTCTCTGGGCCACCTTGTGTTGCTAGTTTGGGGATCAGAAAACATCAGATGTGTATATTCTTCTGTTGCATGGGGAGTTGTAAGATGCTATGTAAACCACTATAATTTTCCTCCAGACCTGGGTCCTAATCAGTTAACCTTCCTCTTTCCATTTTTTGGACTCCCATTTGGTTGTCTTTTGTATTATTTCCAGGCTTTATAATTATACTTAGTGGGGAGAAGCAGGGACAGACAAGTCTACACGTTCCTCATCAGTCCAGAAATTCTCTGTTAAGTCTTTTTTGGTGGTTCTCTAAGTTCTTTAGTACACTTTAAAAACATTTGAACAGAACCAAAGATATTTACTATTACTAAAAAATATTTTTTTTACTACTTTATAGGGAATATGGGAGATTTAGGCATAAACTTACACTTGTGTATTAGGATATAGAGTTTTTTGCTCTTTAATCTATGAAAGTTTATTGGTGAAGTAATTTTTAAAGTAGTGTTATAAAAAAAGAGTATTATTTTTTAAATATCTTTCACTTCCTGATGTCAAGCTTTCATATATTTTTAAAAGATTCTTGATATTGATTCCTTTATAAACTTACCAGAATTGTTTTTTTTTTCTTTTTCTTTCTCTTTTTATGGAGAGTAGGTGGGTGGGTGATAACGGACAGTGGGTGGCGGCCAGTGGTGGTAATGAATATAGAGGTCTTATCTCTGAATTATAGTAAGTGGTAAGAAAGAAACTAGCATGACTTCCAGATACCAATTCAGGGCCCAATGGTAACAACCAATGAATTTTAAAAACAGCACAAAATGGTCAAGCACTTTTGAGAAATTGATTGAGTTAATCCTCTTCCATTTTCCTCTTGCCCTAATGCCATGATGATTGCAATTTGCCTCCTCCCACCCCCTTCCTCTTTTTAAGATAGATGGCCTACACACCTTTTTTAATTATCCTAATTTCACTGGGAGGTGCA